AATGTCTCTTGTAGCCTACTTTTATCCATCCTAAACACTGTTGCTAAATGAATCTTCTTAAATCAACGCTTTTCCTCTTTTAGCAATTCACAGTTGCTTTCAGAGCCCATGACAATTTGGCCTCAGCATCCTGTTCTAGTTTATGCCTTCTTTCCATTCACCTATTTATTAAACAAACATTTAGTGAAAAATGTACAACATGAATTTTCTAGTCCAATTAGGCCACTCTGCTCTCTATACATTTGTAAATATTCTTTGTCCACTCCTTACCTCCATAACTTGCTACTCAATGCCTTTTTCTAATCTACCACTCTTACACCCACAATACTTCAGGGCGTTTTATTTTATTTATTTATGTTCTCCAAATTTCCCAGAGAACCTCCTTACATATAACACACCTTCAATAAACATGTTAATTAAGTGACTTGATAATTAAAGAAATGAGCAATTATACAATAAACCGCTTAGGGAAATACAGGTACTTGAAGCAGTAAGGAAGAAAACTAGTTAAAGTTTAACATTAAAAAATACTTCATTGTAACTAATTACCTGTTTGTTGTATGACGTTTTACTCAAAGTCTGTATTGACCGTCTCTCTACATATCGACCATTGCAATCAAATGATGGATGTATTAGAAGATTATGTATCTTTTTACTCTTTTCACACACTTTAGACATTCAAAAATAATATCAGATTTGTTTTTAAGAGAGAAAAAAGGGCATATTTATCAAAGGCAATATTAACCTTAGTCATTGAAAAAATACATATCTCATGTAATGATTGTTTCTTTTACATAACATCATTTATTGAAGATTTGCTATGAGCAGGACTGTGTGAGGTGCTGTGGGTCACAATGCTTAAGGTCCAGTTCTCAAAAAGGAACATAAGGGTAGTTGACACCAAGACTTTCACATACAAGTTAAGAGTGCAGTAAGTAATGCAGTATGTTCTAGAGGCTGGAGAAGTCAGAGAAGATGGGTATGAGGCTTGAGCTGAGCCAGGAAATAAGAGCTGAATACAAATAAGCAAAGGAAAAGGCAAAGACTGAGGGAAGGCAGGGACGCCCTTCTGCTGAATTTAGAATTTTTTAAATTTGATTATCTTACAGAAGTGCAAGATACCAAAGTGGTTCTAAAGCAGCCATGGAAAAGTGTGTGTCCTACGTCTTAGAACTTTAGTAGCCATGACGGTCCATGTGTTAATTATCTGTTAAAACAATTATTGAACTAACCAAGGCACCAGTGGCCTAATCTTCCTGAATACATAGATATTTGCCATCATTACTCTGGGGCCATACGAATGACAACGCTAAAGAGCTGCAACTGCTTTGCAGACATTCTTCAGTGAATTAACATAAGCTCTGAACTAAGTAGGTGGCAAATGTGAGACCTGCTGACAGGATGCTGTCACAGAGATGAAGTTATCTGTCTTAGGGGTTGTTCTGGTCCAGGGAGATTGGGAGAACATCTACTTAACTTCATGATTAGAATTTCTTTCACTTTACCATAATCATTGGGTGCCTGAGATCTCCTTGAGGACAATGTCTTAGTCATCTCTAGTCCCAGCGCTTGGCAAATACAGGGGTGGGAGGTGGGGTAGGAAAGTGCTAAATGAATGTTTGGAGGGCTAACGAATGATGGATAAAGGAAATGAAGGGGGTAAGTAATAGTTTGCTTATCTGTATTTCCAAAGCCCAGGGAGAATTTTGGTTAACTGCACGGACAAATATATGAACAGATGATGCTCTATCTACACCTAGGAGATTGGATTAAAAGGAGCAACAGAAGGAGCCCGTGCAGGCCTCTGCATTGTGACCATGACAGGCTTTGGTTGGGAACTGCTTGTCCTTCCTCCCTTTTCTTTATTTTACCCTTCGTTGTGCTATTGAACAAGTAAGGCCTGAGATGCAAAGTTGCAGCTTTCAGTAGTCCTGAACCCTTTAAGTGTTTTCCTTAGAAACTGAAGTGGGAGTCATGGGAGCAGAAAACAAATGAGTTTCCATTGTTTTGGAGTAGGGAGGAGCATCATGAAACTGGAGCAAAGCTCACACACAATGAAGGCTGGGTATGTGTCCTGGAGATAGACGTTATTTCATCAATAATTGTTGCAGTTTCTGTCTGAAAGAAAAGTAATTGAAAGTAGAAAAAAATATAAATGAGAAATATGATTTAAGTAATCAATTTTTGTGGATTTTTTCATCAATAGTTGATTATTATTCAACCCTATTGTCTATTTTTACTATTTTTCTAACTTTCTACTTTGATTGCTTTATAGGATTGAAACAAACAAAGCATACATGAGAGTATGTCTGACTAAAGCAATACCCAAATGCTATTAGCCATTTCATTCCAGAACCATGAGTTGGGACAACTTTGAACTTCATCAATATAAATATTCCACTAGTATATTTTTATTTCTTGATGTCAAAGTTAATTATAATTACAAATGGGCCTCTTACCTGTTTGGCCAGTAGAACTTGCAGATATTTGGGACTTATCTTCCTCATGTAAACATCGCCCTACAGTTTGGTTAGTCATTCTTAAATGCAATGTTAAACTGATTAAAGTGAAATTCGAAACCAAAACGAAGCCAGTTTCAGTCAGCTTTGAGACTATGTTGACTTCTGATAAAAATAAGGCACCGGAAAGTCTATGGCCAGTTTTCCCAGTTGAAACAAAAGCCTCTAAGATTCAGGAGCCAGTCCCAGTTAAACCTCTATGCCACAAACCATTGTAATTTCCAGGCCTCAAACCCTCCATCTCTTACATTTACTTCAAAAATCTGGGTTGTTTCTAAATTTGAGACACATAAATGAGGTTGAGACTTACCAATTGATTGCCATCATATTTTTGATTTAAATTCTTTTTATTGTTATTGTTTTCTGTTTTGCCCAATAATAGGGAAATAATAAATTTTCCATTTGTGATCTTATTTGACCCAATGTAAAGGTCTCTCTGATTTAAATACTTCTGTCCTGATGTTATGGGCATCCTTAACACACCTGAGTTATATCATCATCATTATTGTGTCTCTATATTTATTATGCAGTTGTTTTATAAAAGAAAAATCATTCTCTGCATTGAAAAGTGCAGAAGTCCCAACGTAGGACCAAAACAGGATTAGCAGTGGCGTGTTACATAATGTTCAACCATGGCAACACCCTCTCTGAGCAAAACTTCACTGTCAACATTTCTTTGTGGAGCCCAGAAGCTGTGCTTGTTGTTTTCTGCTTTCCTACTGACCTTTTGGGAAATTTTCTTTCCTGATGGAATTGTCATTCTGTCACAGGGAAAGACAACAGAGTAATGTAAAATGGTGACTGGCTCAGGCTGGCCTGTCTGTGGCACTTTCAGTAAATTTTTTTCTCCTGATTTAAAGGGAAGCATTCAAAATAACTGAATATATTAAATGTATAGTTTTAAAAGTTATAGTTCATCAAGTCCTTTTAAAAAGCAGTATAAAAATCATTGTACCTTTAAATTTTTTATTTTTGTTATTGTTTGTACTAGGTATACATTTCAACAATAACAAAAAAATCCAGTTAAGGTTGGACAAGAGAAACCTGGTATTCTACCAGAATTTTTCGGGGCCATTTTGTCTGCCCAGGAGAACTCTGGATGTCACTTCTGGTGACAGAGGTGGGGTGGTCAGCCCATTCTATTGCTAGCTGCTGAAATTATAAGAAAGATTTTCTTCATTTTTGAATCAATATTGTTTTTCTGTAATGCCCACTATTGTGTCTTTACTTATCAACTATTTCAACTCTCTTCTTACCTTTTTATACATCTCTTGCCCTTTTAAGCCAAAGGTACCCTGTCTTTACTTGCTCATTCTGGAGCTAACCTTTCACAAAATATATTTCTTTTCAATGTTCCATTAGATGCCACTAGATGAGGTAAGACCTGTGATTGTAATAACCACATTACCTAACAATTAATAACATTCACTAAATATTAGTTACATTTTTATTTTTAAAATATCAATATAGTGCACAGGAAAGCACAAGGCTTTGAAATCCAATAGATCTTGGGCTCTAATTTTCACTTTTCTCAGTCTGTGTTCTCAGATATAAATAAATAAATAAATAAATAAATAAATACCCTTTCTTTACTTGCTCATTCTGGAGCTAACCTTTCACAAAATATATTTCTTTTCAATGTTCCATTAGATGCCACTAGATGAGGTAAGACCTGTGATTGTAATAACCACATTACCTAACAATTAATAACATTCACTAAATATTAGTTACATTTTTATTTTTAAAATATCAATATAGTGCACAGGAAAGCACGAGGCTTTGAAATCCAATAGATCTTGGGCTCCAATTTTCACTTTTCTCAGTCTGTGTTCTCAGATTAAAATAAATAAATAAATAAATAAAGTTATGACAAAACCCAGTTACAAAGTTGTGTTGAGGATTATCTGTACCCATATCCATAAAGTACCTAGCACAGTTTCTAGTGCATAGTATTTGCTCAGTAAATATTAGTCTCCACACACAACACATCCTTCCCCAACCTCACCTCCCGTGTAATCCAGAATAACAGTGTAAACAGAAAAAAGGAGCCTTGGCTTCCACCTTTGCCTTCAAGTGCCACGACCTTGGACAAATCGCTTTACCTCCTTGCATGTTTCCCTACCAAGTAGTCCTATGTCTATTTCAAAAGTTTGTTGCAAGAATCTAATATTGTTATTGCTGGTAGCAATCTATCAGTGAATAATTGCTGAATGAATGAGCTAGTCCCTCACTCCTCCCTCCCCACACTGGAACAGGGAGGAAAAGCCTAACAAACTCGATATTAAAATCGGTCCATGTATATTTATGGAAACATGCACATATGGGAACATTTGCCTGATCAGTGCAAATCCAGGCAAACACTCTCACATGAACATTTGGCAGAAGAACCATTGACTCACTGCTGATATAAACACTACAAAGGTTCAGAATCCCAGAGTTATAGTCATCAATGACTGACACTCTTCCTTTCATTTCTTCCAGGAATTTCTATTACATCACAATGTTACGTGATCCAGTGTCTCGTTACCTGAGCGAATGGAAACACGTCCAGAGAGGGGCCACGTGGAAAACCTCCCTCCACATGTGCGATGGGAGAAGCCCCACCCCGGATGAGCTGCCCACCTGCTACCCTGGGGATGACTGGTCTGGGGTTAGCTTGCGGGAGTTCATGGACTGCACCTACAACCTAGCTAACAACCGCCAGGTGCGCATGCTGGCTGACCTCAGCCTGGTGGGCTGCTACAACTTGACTTTCATGAACGAGAGTGAAAGAAACACCATCCTGTTGCAGAGTGCAAAAAACAACCTGAAGAACATGGCTTTCTTTGGGCTCACAGAATTCCAGAGGAAGACACAGTTTCTCTTTGAGAGGACATTCAACCTCAAGTTCATCTCTCCCTTCACACAGTTCAACATCACGCGGGCTTCCAATGTGGAGATCAATGAGGGTGCCCGCCAACGCATTGAAGAGCTAAACTTCTTGGACGTGCAGCTTTATGAATATGCAAAGGATCTCTTCCAGCAGCGCTACCACCACACCAAGCAGCTGGAGCACCAGAGGGACCGGCAAAAGAGGCGGGAGGAGCGGAGGCTGCAGCGGGAGCACAGGGGCCATCGGTGGCCCAAGGAGGACGGGAACACAGAGGGGGCAGTCACTGAGGACTACAACAGCCAGGTGGTGAGATGGTGACCCCCTGCCCTTTCCTCCCTCTGAAGGGGGGATGAGCAGGAGCACTGACCTCGTGTGGCATTACCGTGGAGACTGCTGGGACTGGTGGGCCATTCTGAGGACATCTGGCTATATGTGGCTTGATTTGGACACCTGCTTCCTCTTTGTCTTCATCTTTCTCCAGCTGGAGATGATCGGTCTTGTTCTTTTTTTTTTTTTTCTGACATTTTTCAATCTGTGATATTAAGTAGGGTAGGAATACATCCAGTATAGACCACTTCAGAAGGTCAAAGAGAGAAGCACCAAAAAGGAAACGGTCTGTGCAATCTCCTTTGCAGCAGCATAGGTTATAGTTTGGGCAACTGGAACCCACAGAGGCACACATGAAAAGCCAAATTATGGCTTGGATGTTCTGCTGAAACCAGTCTGTTTCGTACTGTCTCTGTAATGGAAATATCGATCTGTTTAGAGAGAGAGAAAAAGAAGTCCCTTTCAGCCCTTTGATGAGGTTTTAGGCCAACCCTCACTTTACTGTTGGCTGTCACCTTGGAACTCTATTTGAATGTGGTTTAAATCATGAGAAGAGTAACATGTTTTGTTGCTGTGGTCTTTTAAAACAAGATTACCCTGCTATTGACCATCACTAGAGACTCACATCCTACAAAGCCTTGTAACTTAGCCCTGAGCTATGCTTCCTCCCCGACTTCTTAGGGAACAGAGAGTAGATTCAGGACAGGGGTGCCTGTGGCCCTGATAAATGAACCTTGGTATTTAGGAAGGGCATTTAGGAAAAAGTGTGCTTATTAACTAATGCCTAAGAAGATCACACTTTACCAAGTTTTATTTTCAATATGAGGAACGAATGATAAGGGGTGCAAATGCAGGAAGATAACTATATGTCCAACATTTCCAAACCAGCTTTAGAACCTTACTTTTTAAAGAACATTTCTGAGTTCTACCTGTTTGGAGCAGTCATCGTCTTTGATATGGTACTGCCAGGTTTGAAATTCTTCTATCAGAGAGGAAAAGACATTTTAAAAGAATTTGGCCTGAAGAATAGGAGCTTAGCTAACAGGTATAAAAAATATATTTGAGATCCATAAGTTAATAATAATTTTGATTTAGGCCAGGAGACATGGAACACAATGGGATGAATTTTAAAAGAATCTACCTCCCCAAATCTTGAATATTTCTAGGCTGATAACTTTTTCTTCCCCACATGGTTTTTACCTGTTGTTAGATTGGCTACAGCTTATGAATCAGACTAGAGTGTATAAAACTGAACCAAAAACTGTGTTGCATTGTCAAGTGCTTCTGATTTTCACCTTTTCCCAACCACAACTACAATAACACAACATTTTTAAGTAATAAGAGGAGAAGTACAGAAAAAGAAATTGAGAGCCCTTCCCTAGCATTCGCTAGGAGGATCAGAGTGAGTAAAAATTCTCACAACAGATTGATCTGATCAATCCTCTCAAGGAGCCGAAGGCAAAATGAGTGAAACCCCTAAATCAGATTGAAAAGCCTATTTCATTGATATATAACATGTTTGATGTTTAAGCCAGCTTTGTATAAGCCACATCTCAGCCTCTAGAATACTCTCTCTGGGGTTGAGAGTCAGTCAGCCTGGAAGCATTCGTGGAGTGGCTGCCTACACAAAAGGAGCCTTGTGGCTCCATCGAAGACAGATCTAGAGAAGCCGCCTAGATCCTTCTCTCACTACCCTTGGTTTCATCTGTCCAGTGAGAGAAGACATTATTGGGGACCTCCCTTGTGCCAAAAACTGTGAGAGGCCCTTTTCATACTTTAAATCTATTCACAACAATGTATATATTACTAGTCCAAATTTCGTAGATGAGAAAAGTGAAACCCACTGACAGTAAGTAGCTTCCTTGTGGATTATACACTAGATCTGGCCAACTGCAAAGTGCAAGCTCTTTTTACTCCATCGTGTTTTCCATATGAGATAAAAGCTTCCTGCCAATCATGCAAGAATCCAGCTGTTATTGACCAGAGGGTATGTCTCTGTCCCACAACTGTGACAGCACCAAGCTGGCAGTGCCCCAGAGCCATGCTGCCCCGGGTGAGGCCAGCCCTCTCCACACCACCAACCCATCAAAGAGCTTGAGAGTGTAATGACTTTTTAGGCAGTTGTACTTTTTGAGCCATATATGAGGGTGAGTTAAAGGGGCCAAGTAAATATTGCTTGTTGGTTGGTAGAGATTAGGTTTACAAAATATTAATGTTTCTTTTTCCAATAATTTTTTCCTAAGATAGGAAGGAAAGGAGGATTGCAACTGGGATTAATAAGGAGCTCACTCTCTATCTTCACATTTTGATATTAAGATACCATGTTCGACCTAGAATGGCAGGGCTGCAAATTATCCTTCTGCCTGCCACTGTGACACATAGACACACAGACACACACACAGACACACACACACACACACACACGTACACATGCATGCACGCATGCACTTATAATAACAATCCAGTGTTTTGTCATGTGAAAAATCAAACCAAGTTAGAAAGCATTTAGATTGTTTCTTTTAAACTCACTTTAAATTTTTGGCAGAGATTTATGCATAGCTGAGACTCGGAGGCAGCCTCTGCTAACTTCACACTGTTCCTTAGACACCTCGGGATTTATATTAAAAGGCTCTCTGCGGCCTTGCTGCTAAAGGCGTGATATATGGTGCTCCACTGGAGACCAGATATCAGGTTGTTCAGAGGAGAAACCATCTCTTCGTGTTGGCCCGAGGCCGGTGCTGAGCAAATTAAAAAAGACCGACAAGGGCTTCCTTCCTCATATCATTTCATTCTAAAGCAGCACACTTGTCATATCCCCGGGGTCCTATGTTGATAGAAACAAGAGGTAGGGATGCAGTTTGTTCTCTGAAAATTGACTGCACACCTACGTGCTGTGAGGCTTGGGGAAGCGATGCCAACAGAAGGCACCTGGGCCTAAAGATCCATGGGAAGTCAGCAGCCTTAAGATCCCAAACCAAATCAATTTCAGATACATTAGTGTTAAAAGCCCAAGAAGAAAGAAACAAAATTCCCCAGGGAGTTCCCCATCCTGTTGACTCCCGCAACTCCCTGGGAGACATTACTTTCCTTCTCTTGGCAATAGCAGCCCCAGTAACCAGATTGGGATGAGGCGTCTGTGTGTGTATCTGTGTATGTATTTAAATTATTATTATTATTATTATTATTATTATTGACTAAGATACATACTATCTATTCTACTTTCTCATTTTTTGGCAGTCTCCTCTTGGTAACTGGAGAAAACTTGCCCTGAGAATTATTTGGGTTCTCTTTCTAATAATTAATAATATATAGCAATTAGTGCTAGGCAACAGTTAAGAGTAATCATGTGTGCTATTAAAAATTATAACAATGTGTTTTTTTCATCTAAAGGAGGTAACTTTGTCATAAACAGTTTGATCAAATGTTTGAAATATGAGGATTTATTCAAAAATCTGTCTAGAGATAGTATAACTATGGGGAAGAAGGTTTACCAGATAGACCTAGCAAAGAGGTGAACATAGATCATTAACAAATAAATATGTCTATTGGATAGGATTCCCATTTGGCTGCTCTAGCAGAGAAACTCAAAATAATAGCTAATTCAATAAGATTGAAGTGTTTGCTTCTTCACTTAAAAGACACACTGGTTGATAACTGGGTGTGTGACATTCATTGCCAGAAGCCCAGGCCCTCCCTTGTTGCAATTTCATCCTAATGTGTAGCTTCCATCTCATGGTCCAGGATGACTGCTGCAGCTCCCATCATCTCATTTACATTTAAGACAGCAGAAAGGAAATGGAGAGCAGTTGCATATGTCACTTCCAGTCACATCTTGTGGACTAGAACCTAGCCATTACCTACATTTAGCTGCAAAGAAAGCCAGGAAATGTCTTTAGTATTGGCTGCCATGTGCCTTGATAAATATGAGGGTTCTATTAGTAAAGAAACAATGTGAAAATTAATACTGATAAAAACTATCAGTCTCTGACACAAAAGGGAATTGAAAAATATTTCAAGTGCTTTTCAATGTCATCATTTTTGTCATATGTTTTAGAAAGAATAAGATTAAAATTCATTACTTCGTGTAGTATTTAATGCTTTTCAAAACATTTTTACATTTAGTATCTCATTGATCTTCGCGCATTCTTTATGTTAAATAGACCTCTATTCATTACTCATTGGATAGTTTGATATGGAAATTCAAACTATCTCCATAAGAGATAGTTTGAAAGATTTCCCAAAGATTCTAATTTACTAACAAGAAAGTTGTTCAGAGCCCCAGTCTTTGGACTTCATAGTCTTTCCTACTACTTTATGCAGCTCAGCATCAGTATTGGGATTGGGAATTGCAAGAATATGAAATCTAAATCTTTATTGATTTGTATCTTTCCTGATCCTCTCATGGAACTACAGTGACTTAGATGATGCCAAGGAGACTGGTAGAGTTGGTGTTTAACACCCTGCCTCCAGTGAAGGAGTCTGTTATTAGGAGTGAAACAGCCAAAAGATGGACAATGTTGTAGGGGTGATCAAGCAGCACTGGCACTCAAACACCTCTTGCTGGATGTCCACCCCATCCAATCCAAAAACTATTCAAGATGAAGGCCAAGGGAATGTGCTCACATCTCTTGAAGGAAGCTTAGTGTTAGAAATATTTAGACTCAGTACCAGCCTGAACAGTGAAGCTTAAGGGGTGATCAATAGAACTCCTGCTCTAAAAATTTTCCTTCCTCTCTACCTCTTCTCCAGGTCCCTGGAATTTTATTACCAACTTATTGCTTTAGTTCTTAAAGGATTTTTTTTCTTTTGGTGCTAAATGAGTCTCTTTGCACATTTGCAAGAGGAAATGATTTAAGCTGTCATAAGCTAACATCACACAGGGAGTTTATCTGATTCCTTTCTAACCATGACCTCTAGCTGAGAAGAAGGTCCTGTATAATGAGATCATGCAGAGGTGGGGGTTAGGGAGAGACAGGGTAACTACAGAAAAAAAGTAAGGCTCATAAAAAGGCAGCAGATTTTGCAAAGGCGGAAAGATGAGGAATTAAATATGTGCTAGAAATTATTGAAAAATAGAAAATAACTAATATACAGCTTCTGTCCTCAAGA